TGATATTGTGTTTCCTTTTTCCCGATACTGCGCTCAATAGCTCCAGGGTGAGGACCATGCGGTATACCGCCTGGGTGTAACGTAATCTGCCCTTTTTGAATATTATTTCGGCTCATAAAATCTCCATCCACATAATACAACAACTCATCGCTATCGATATTACTGTGGTGATATGGAGCAGGAATAGCATCAGGATGGTAATCATACAAACGCGGAACAAACGAACAAATCACAAAGTGTGCATTCTCGAACGTTTGATGAATTGGAGGCGGCATATGCACCCTACCGGTTATAGGTTCAAAGTTGAAAATAGAGAAAATGTACGGGTAATGATACCCATCCCAACCAGCTACATCAAAAGGATGATTTGCGTACTGATACGGAAACATCATTCCTTTTTTCTTGATGAAAATATCGAATTCGCCTTGCTCATCATAGGTTTTCAAGTTACTCGGACGAACAATATCTCGCTCACAAAATGGCGAGTGCTCTAGCATTTGTCCGAATTGATTGCGATAACGACTAGGTGTGAAAATTGGCGAAAAACTTTCTACATATAACAATCTATTCTTGTCTGTATTGAAATGAATTTGATACACCGTTCCTCTTGGAATAATGATGTAATCACCATACTTGAAATTCAATTCGCCATACATGGTGAAAAGTGTTCCACTGCCTTCATGCACGAAAATCATTTCATCGGCATCGGCATTTTTATAAAAGTATGAAGTGCTTTCCATTGGTGCCGCCAACCCTATATGCATATTAGCATTCACAAAAAGTGTTTTGCGACTTTTCAAGTAATCTTTTTCAGGCTGTAGCTGAAACCCTTGAAAACTCATACAATCTAATCCATTATCGATGGCGATTTTTGGAGCTACTGAATAGGCTTTGTCTTTTTGCTTCACACGTGTTGGTGGATACAAATGATAGACTAACGAAGACATTCCTGCAAAACCTTGCGTACCCACCAACTCTTCTTGGTAAAGGTTTCCATTCGCTTGACGACTCACAACGTGGCGTTTTGCCGGTATTGTTCCTAACTGATGATAAATGGGCATTTACTTAATTTTAGTATTAGCAATCAGAAAACATTAATGACATTTAAAATAATCGAAAGGCTCTTTGCAGTCGTTGCAACTATATAAAGCCTTGCAAGCTGTAGAACCAAATTGTGACACTACTTTTGTGTTTTTGGAATTGCAACGTGGGCAATGTACATGTGTATTCGCAGGCTTAATCCAACTGGAACAAGACGAATGCATTGGAGCCGCAATACCGAAATCGCGGAGCTTCTGCTTTGTTGTTTCTGTCATCCAATCGGTTGTCCATGCGGGTGAATAAACCAATGTTACTTTAGGTTCTTGAACACCATGTTGCTTTAAAAGGGCTATGATATCATCTTCGATTATGCCCATTGCCGGACAGCCGGTATAAGTAGGCGTTATAATGACTTCACACGAATGCTCATGAAAAATAACATCGCGTAACATACCCATTTCCTCTATTGAAACCACCGGTATTTCCGGGTCACAGATAGAAGATAATAATCGAAAAATCCCTTCTTTACTATGAATGTCTTCGTTTACCATTTTGCATCAGGATAGGCACGTTGTAAATACTGCATTTCCAACAAAATATGCCCCAAATATTCAGTATGAATACCGTTTCGGCTTCCTGTTTGCATATAATCCACATTTGGAATGGCAATATTCGAATCTGCTAAAATAGGCTGAACCAATGCTAACCATTGCGGTTTCAACGCAGTTAAATCTGCGCCAATTCCATCATTAGCCAATGCTGCAAAATCAGTATCCATTTCAAACAACTCACCTGTGAACATCCAAAATTCATTGAATCCGTTTTGCAAACGTCTGTGACTTTCTTCAGTACCTTTTCCTAAACGGTAACACCAATCACGAGAATGAATGAAGTGATACTTCGCTTCTTTCACAGCCTTAGCGGCAATAGCGGCAATCGATGCATTTTTTGAAGTACACAATGCAGTAAACAACAAATACTCAAACGATGATACAATCAACATTTTAGCCATAGTACACGCAAAATCGCCATTGGGTAATTCGGCAATGAGATTGTTGTAGAATTCGCGTTCACCGCGTTTGTAAGCCAAATCATCTTCCGTTCTTCCTTTGCCCTCAACTTCTCCGGCATATTTCAAGAAAGCCTGCGCACGACCAATATGATCGAGTGCCAAGTTGGTCATGGCCAAATCTTCTTCCAAGATTGGACCGTTGCTGCATAATTCTGAAAGACGGTGACCTTGAATCAAACCATTATCTCCAAGAAATAGCAGATATTTATAAAGTGCGTTGTGTGTTGTCATTGCTTCAGATTTAAATT